GAGCGCGCGCCTGTATTTCCAGCTACTTGGAAGACTGAAGCGGAAGGATCACCGGAGCCCAGCAGGTCAAGGCTGCGGTGGCCAGGAGTGTCCACGGCACTCCAGTCTGGGTGACAGAGTGAGACTCCGACCCAAAAAAAAAAAAAAAGAAAAGAAAGTGGGGCCTTGGCCGGGTGCGGTGGCTCATGCCTTTAATCCTAGCACTTTGGGAAGTGAGAGGATTGCCTGAGCCTACGGATTCGAGACCTGCCTGGGCAACTTGGCAAGACTTCATCTCTACAATAAATCGAAAAATTAGCCAGGCGTGGTGGCATGCACCTGTAGTCCCAGCTACTTGGAAGGCTGAGGTGGAAGGATCACCTGAGCCCAGCAGATGGAGGCTGCGGTGGTCACGAGCATGCCACTGCGCTCCAGTCTGGGTGACAGAGTGAGACTCCAATTGAAAAAAAAAAAAAGTGGGACCTTAGCTGGACTGGGATGCCTTTCAAACTCAGGCTATGAGAACCAGCAAGGAACCCATATCAACTGATGTTATGCTGGTGACTGCACCAAGTTGTTGATACCATAACTTAGTCTCCTTAGCAAGCTCTCTGGAGCCTGGCAGTCCCTTGTCCCCACTCCTAGCCCCCAGAGACCTCACACACACTGTGGCTCTTCTCTACCTGGGTTTGTACTGTTCATGTGCTGTCTCAAAGCTGAGTTCCTCACCATGGCATGCTCACTTCTCTAGCAGCCCCCAGGTCTTAACCACAATGCCTTGTACTCATACATGGTCACTGTATTTGCTGAGAAAATGAATAAATGAGCGAGTGAATGAATAAATGAGTGAGTGAATGCCCATTTCACAGATGTGGAAACTGAGGCTCAGAGAATGGAACAACAGTGAGCTGATTTTTCTATGTGCCAAATACATATTGCCTCATTTACTTTTCAGAACAATCTTATGTGGCAGATATTATTAATAGCCCCATTTTACAGATAAGAATATTAAGGCTTAGAGAGATTTGAGATGAGTTATAAGTCTCTGTATCAGTCAGCATTCCCCAAAAAGACAGAACTAATAGGATATATATATGTATGTATGTGTGTATATATATATATTTATATATATATTTTTATATATGGAAAGATTTATTATGAGGGATTGACTCACGTGGTGATGGAGCTGACAAGTCCCACCATATGCAGCCTGTAAGCTGGAGGGCCAGGCAGCTGCCAGAAGGCCTGAGAACCAGAGGAACCAATAGCCTGAGACCCAGAGCTGATGTCCAAGGGCAGGAGAAGACGAGACTCCAACCCAAGCACAGGGCATGAACTTGACCTTCCTCTGCTTAATTGTTGGATCCGGGCCATTGATGGCTTGGCTGCGGCCCACCTACCTTGGTGAGAGCAGATAGTCCTCACTCAGCCTCCTGATTCTGGTGCTAATCTTTCCTGGAAATGCCCTTCTGGACACACCCAGAAATGTTTTACCAGTTATGTGAGCATCCCTTGGCCCAGTTAAGCTGACACATAAAATTAACCGTCACAGTATCTTTTTCGGTTTAATTTAGAAATTCAAGTGGAACCAGAACCAGAAACAAACAGCTATTTCTAAAAATCTATTTATTCTGTCAACAAACATTTATTCAAATTAGATGTTGGGTATTATACTAGTTTTGTATTGGACACAAAGGCGAACCAAGCACGGTCTCCTTTTATGATTGAGTCATTCATCTAATAAATAACTATGTATTGAAGCCCTACTGTGTGCCAGGTACAGGGGCTGGGGACACAACCCTGATGCAGACATAAAAACTACCTTCATAGCACTTCTTTCTTTCTTTCTTTTTTTTAATTGTAGAGATGAGGTCTCACTAAGTTGCCCA